CGAACTTGACTGCCATCGGGCATATTGAAGGCAAGAACTGCAAAAAGAAACATCGTATTACCTTTCTAACGTGCTTGTGTGAATGTAGGGCCCGGCAGGGACATCGAAGAATAGCAAGGGGGAAAACACGAGCTATATAGAAGAAGAAGTTGTGGAGAGTCATTATCATTCACCTCCTGAAGCGCCATGGTGAATAATATAAAGTACAGGAAGGATCCATGTTATCAACAGCACATATCAGAATAAAAACGGTAACATGAATCACTGTCTCTCAGCATGAGTACGGTCCCATGGTCTTTCACAAATTCTTTACCAACAATCTCGTACGCGTTGCGATAGGGCTAACTGGGAGATCGAATGTCTGTCTGTAGTACTCAATGATGTTACCATATTCCACGTTCATGGAAATGATAGTCACATGTGTATGACGTTTGTCTGGTTGAAGAAAACATCTTTCAAAGAGGATTCGTTCACGACACACAGGCCCATCTTCTGGGATTATGGTTTGGACTGCCTCAAGTTTCAATAAACGTTCGCCTTTTTGTGCAGGGGACATTAAACTGTGTCATCTGTGTTCAGGACATGGTTTAACATCTATTCTTGCATCCGGAAGGCGAAATGATCTTCTATTGCAGTAAATCCTGTGCAAATGAAACCATTGCGACTCGGAATGCTCTTCAAAATAGTCGATATCTTAGCTGAAGCTCAGAACCGCCAGACCTGACACCCAGTGAGCATGATGGGACAACAGCTACCTCATTCAGTTACCCCCACCTAGAGCATCGACAGAAATCACCAGATACAAAATTCATGGAATACTCTCTTTAGTATTTAGGGGTTTACGGTTGCATCACGTTGAAACAGCAATACTCGTACGATGGCTGACTTTAAGCAACGTCGTCCCTGAGTGGTACTTAGATGACTTAGACCGCATGGGAATACCAAGTAGTATAAGCCTCGATGTGCGGGTGGTGTAATGGATAAAACCTGGGAATTGGAAATCAAAGAACTAGGTTCTAATTCCAGTCAGATTCTCTATATTCACAAACGCTCAACTACCCTTGGGAAATGTATTAATCAACAACTTCTCCCTCCCCCAGATATGGGTTAATTGATAGTAATTATATCAGTAAATCATTATTATCTTTAAATAACATGCAAAGTGTTGATAAGCTGTAAAAACAGATCAATCAGTCGACTACTTTATAATTATCTGCAATCGAGAGTACAGATTTTTAACGACATAATGTGCATTAATATAGGATGTGAATACTGTTATTATAGATTAAAATACGCATGCAATTATTTCATGTTATATGCTCAAACCCACATGAGATCTGTAGTCTTAAAAGTGTCTTTTCAGAGTAGCTGATTTAGTGATATTTAATTCTATACGTTGAAAGACAGGGGCATTATAACTTGTGAACTTCGTGTTATACTAAATTGCGTTACTTAATACGTAGCTGAAAAGATACCAGGCTGGGGGATATGAAACTCTCTCTCTCTCTCTCTCTCAATATATATATATATATATATATATATATATATATATATATATATATATAACATATAGAACATATAGTTGATGTGATACAACAGAGCTATAAAGTATATATAAATAAATATAGATATCATCCTTCACCGATATAATTTTTTCAAAAGTATTGCCGGTAATAGTTAACTGTTTGCCCATAACTGGGACCCTGACAGGTGCTACCACCCCTGCTCAGGGTGGACCTAGGAACACCAGCAATTAAGAGGTGGTTCCACACTCCTCAAAACCTCCAGATCAGAGGCCTTGCTGCTGGACGTAGTTTATCGTCTTACCCAGGACGCGAATATAGTTTAACGTCTTACCCAGGAAGACAAAAGAAGGTAAAAATAACCCAAGACGGGCCATCTTGCTACAAATCACGGGTAATAAAAAGTTTTTCACTGATCAAAACATCGCAGTATTACAAGTTTAGTCAGCCAGAAATGATCAGGCTATAACATAATTGTTCTCAATGTGAGAGTGAAAAAAATCTGCTGTATAAGGATTTGAGGTTAACTTTAAAGGGGAATTAGCGATCACTGGTGATGGAAAATTTAATTTCTGTTCCTCTATTCTATGTCTAGCCGAGGCTGCAATTTGTGCCAGTAACATCCTTAATAAATACTGATTACTAATTTTAATCTCGCTAAATATATATGCATATTTATTTTGTGCTTGATTATTTTTTTCTATTAATACAAAGTATTTATTACTGAGTGTCTTGTAACTCATGGCTTATTTTCAATACCACGATGTGTTTATATCCGTATCTCAGCTTGTACTTTGTGTACCTCAACGCGACAACTGGCATTAAGATCGTAAATGACCACAGATTCAGATTCTGAAAATACAGCGTGTTAAAAAAATGTAAGCTAATAGACATTTTTTTTAACAATTATTTTGCTTCGTTACGTTGGCATAAATTTATATTTTGTCAAAAATTCTGTGATATGTTATTATTTACACTATTTATATTTGGACTATAGGAAGGTCGGCGTGCACAACGGCTGAAACGTAATGATAGCAACAACAAGACGGGCACAATAGTCCGAATATAAATAGTGTAAATAATAAATTTCACTTTAAAATAACAAGGATAATATACTCGAACAATTAAATATAAGATTTGTAGCATACTAACTTAAAAGTCACTCTATCGGGCGGAAGTTAATCTAACTCTCACGGAGGGCTCTTGATTGGGCCTTTGACGTTTCAGGAGTTTGAGACTCCCTAAATCTTTGTCTATTTTCAAAAATGGAAACTCTCTTGGCTGCCGTTTGATCTGGGGTCTTATTTGCGAGGGACTTTCTTTACCTCGCTGCTGTCTTGGTTCTTTTGATTGCATGGTCAACTGTTGTCAGAGATTTCTTTTTGCGAGGTATACTGCTGCCGTAAGCGATAGGCAACTGTAAACTACAGAAGAACTCAAAATTGATCGCTGCATTTAAGTATTGCACTAATATTTAAGCTTACCTCTTAAAGATTCAACGTATCTGCCGCCAATTAATTTAAAAACAATTTGATGTACGTAAGTCCGTAATTTCTGTACAAAAAATATTTTTATTTCATAGGCGACTGAATAATCTCAATTATTTTCAATTATTCGAAAATTTATTTCCCACAAATAAAAATTGTTATCATACAAAAAGTTCGTTCCCAAAATATCATGTAAGAAAATCGCCGAAAATAATCACAGTTCTGAAAACTCGGAAATCCAAAACTTCAGAATTGCAGGACTGGGTCCGGGTTCGAGTTCAGGTCCGGCCCAGAATTATATTAAATTAGTTCACAGAGTCGGCCTAATTCCAAAACGGTATATGTTAGGCTACGGCCTCTGGGAGTAAAGTTGAAAAAAAGTGTGACGCACAACACACTAATATACGTATTTATTTATATAGAAGAAATAATATAGCATAAAAATAAATCATTAAATGCTAAAAAGAAAATGATTTTGTTTATCATTTACCCTATTTACATTGTTCGAACTGTTTCCCTCATCTTTATTGTCATATTCACGACGTTTCGGCCAATGTACGCTCCAGCTTTCTTCAGATGGTATACGTTGGAATTTTGAACCGAACACTTTATTTTCCTCCAATTTGTATACGCTTCGGGTAGGAAAGTTTACACATATAGACTTAGAGATCTCACTCCGGGACAGATGCTTTTCATGAGTAGTTAGTAAGGCAATGCAGTTTCCTGTAGACTAATTGGTAAGAGAGACTTTGCTTAAAATTGTTTTGCTCGATTTCTATTTGTTTAGTAGGACTTCTTAATGTCTAGGACAGTGGGCATTAATTTCATTGCCTAAACAACAAGGACGTCTGCTCAAACACGCGTACCCACTAAATACAACGTATAAATTAAAAAAGAAATAATGCCGGATTAAAAAAATTAATTGTTCATATTTACTTTTTTTTATATTTCGAACAGGACAATAAAGATAGATTGTATAGACTTTTAGAAGACCCAACAAAACATGTTTATTTCTTAAATAAGAAATGAAACCTTTTTGTACCATGATATGGAAAATTGTTTCTATATCAAGAACCATATCAGGAAAAACTATAACAAAGTGGGAAAAGTTTTCGTTTGATATGTTTCGTCCTTTAGGTCTTTATTCCGATGAACGAAGCGAGCCACACGAAAAGATTTCCCACTTTATCTTTATATATATTTCTCACAATCTTCTATATTCATCGAGAAGGGATGTCCAATGTCGGCGAGAGAGCATTTATAAATACAGAATGTATAGACATGAGAACAAATACTAGATTCTGACTGTCAGACACAGTCATGTGTCAGATCTTCTGACACCGTTTTCTTACAGATCGCATTTTGGAGTGATAATGACAGTCTCCATGCAATGTTAATTCCCATGGCCCCTCTTTCCCTCTTTATCAATATCTGTGTATATGTATATGCTTCTGTTCGCGTGCATGCGTGTATCTGTGCGCACATGCATGTGTTCGTTTGTGTGTGTACGTGTGTCTCTGTGTCTGTGTGTCTATCTGTGTGTGTGCGTACGTATGTCTCTGTGCCTGTGTGTCTATCTGTGTGTGTGTGTCTCTGTGTCTATCTGTGTGTGTGTGTCTCTGTGTCTATTTGTGTGTGCGTGCGTGTGTGTGTGTGTGTGTGTGTGTGTGTGTGTGTGTGTGTGTGTGTGTGTGTGTGTGTGTGTGTGTGTGATATGCCATGGTATAAGCTAATATTTCACGAATTCAGGAGATCACCAGTGGCCAGTGATTCCGCGACATAAGCGAGTCCCGTAGTCACTGGAATTTTACGCAATGGCTCGTATTTTTGTCCGGATTTAAAATAATGTCAGACCATCTGTAGGTGGAAACATCATCATTTCCTGCCCTTCACATTGGCACTGATCCCTGTCACACTGTCACTGACCCATTCCAAAACCAGGCAAATCAGCTCCACACCCATTTAGCCGATCGACTTGATTCGCACTCACCGACGTATTGGACCGTGCGCACTGTCTCGTAACGACCGAGCGACCGACCAGCACATGCTTCTCGTGTACGCAGTCCCGATAAAGGTATACACGGTGTTGAGAAAACGGGACGGAGTGGGTGGCGCCGCAATTCGTTCGCGACAAATTCATCCCGGATTAAAGGGGAAGTGATCACGTAGGCAGCTTTTGGTGTAATTAATTCGACCAGAAACGATGCTTTCCTCAGCTGTCACGACGCGTAAGAAGCGTCCGTGTGATGGACGCTAGGTTAGTGGTTGGGATAAAGCTGGAAACTAAGAGGGCGAGGGGCGTGATTGAGGGTAGAATTTGATGGCGTAAGCAGCTTGTTTAGTGTGGTGGGCAGGACAGAGTTGTCGGTGTCGGTGGGGAGGGAACTACAATAGGGGTTGGTCGGGATGTTTGCCAGTTGTGATGGCACGGAAAGGAGCAAGATGTCAAGTCAATGCTCATGATGATCACGGGAGTAATGTTAATGAGATTTGGCGATAAATCTGATGAATTGAGTGCGAAGTGCCGTTTATGTTTGGTGTGCTGGTGTCGAAAGCAGTTGTTGTGAGTTCAATCCTAATTTTCTTAATATTTCAATCTTTATTCGCATTAACCAATGAACGTTATGACAGACCACGTCTTATTTCGTTCATTTCTTGGAAATAACCGGATGCGTTATGCATAAATGGAAACTTTATTTGGTTTTGTTAGTACCATGCATGGATCTATTTCCTTTTGTTTTAATACAATTTTCATTTTACTTTTTAAAATAAAACCAATCACTTCTCGTTTCTTATTTGGCATGTTTAAATACGAATGATTGCCTTCATCTTGTTAGTTAACTGTTGTAGCATACCTACGGACGATAATGTGCCTGTCCCCATTCACATAAATACTGTAGTAAATACTATAGTGATTTTCCAAGCGTAGCTTAGATGTGGCTCAAGGCCGAAAGTATTGGGTACCAAGTGAGGGTCGAACTCACTACTCAGTCGTAATTGTTCTAGCCAGACAAGCTTACTAACCATTACACCACCTCGAGGTGCCCGTAGTAAATACTGTATGTTGGCCTGCAGTCAAAAATTCGTCTCCAGCTGTCCTGCTCAAACTCTCTGCCTCCGGGTAGAGAGGATCCCCAGACGAGACTATGGCGAAGACAAATGTCCCGTCTTCAGAAACAGCTACCCGACCCCGTTTTATACGGGGTCTATGGGGAATTTTTTGGCCGAGCATACGGACTCGGATACCCCACATTAAATTCGGCCTTGTGTAACATCTGACGCGGTTGCTAGATATGCTACCATCGGAAATTCGTTTCCGGCTGTGCTGGTCAATCTCTTTGCCTCTGGGCAGAGAGGATCTTCAGATGAGACCCTGTCGAAGGATAGAGACTCATCTTGGGAAACAGCTATCCGACCAAATTTATACGTGTTCTTCGCGGTATTTTTGGCCGAGCCTACCGGTTCGGATGGCCCACATTAAGTTCGGCCTTGGTATATATACTGCAGTCCAATTGTGCTGGTCAAACTCACTGTCTCCGAGCAGAGAGGATCCCCAGACGAGGTTATGTCGAATGGAACAGTCTCGTCTCTAGAAACAGCTACCCGACCCTGTTTTATAAGAGGTCTACGGGGAATTTTTAACCAACCTACGGGCTCGGCTACCCCACATTAAATTCGGTCTTCTGTGTGCCACATCTGACCGCGTGGGGCGGTTGGTAGATATCCTGCAGTTGGAGATTCATTGTGGAATTCACTTGACTCACTTCTAGCAGTTGACTACTTCTTCTACGCCCCGCTATCAAATTTTATGTGTGTTGTTCTTGTCCTAAGGATTATCGTTCATTAACAACCTTCATTTGAGTATTCTATTCAGTAACCTTCCCTAGGTTACAACAATAACCAGCAAGATAAGGATAACAGTTTGCATATAAATAATGCAGGACATTCTCATCACAAGTGAAGAAAAGAGTTGAAGCAACAGAAATGTGGCTCTACAGAAGGATACTGAGAATACGATGAACTGAACAAGTTTTAGATAAAATGGAAACAAATAGGACCCTTATGCTTAAGAGACGTATGGATTTTTTTAGTATATATAATGAGAAAAAAGACGGTTTTGAAATTGTGACACTTGCAGGACTTATTCAGTATTTCAAGTGAGACAGAGGAAAAACAAAATTAGTAACTTATACAACGAGCCTGTGTAAAAAGATAAAAGTACAGGGATTGGGAAGGACAGCTAGAAAGGACAGAAGGTTTTGGAGAGCCATGATCACACAAGTGAGCAAAGGGAATCGACATTTAGGAAAAGAAAAAATGATAAACGTAAACATTGTCAGAATTTTGTAGATGAAGTGATTTTCTAGCCTTTAAATTTTGATTCTAATACAAGATTTCTTGAGTTTGTGACAAATAAAGTGAAGTACTCACAAACACACACGCATGCACAGGCACACAAACACACGCACGCACACACATACACACATACATATATATATATATATATATATATATATATATATTTGTTGGATAGATGTGAGTTTGTGACCGTGGATTTCACGCTTTCGTGATCGTCAGACAAACTGATTAATATATAAATAATTATACATATATAATAAATAATTATACATATATATATTTATTTATATTTATATGCACTTTTCACACATTAAAACATTAAACATTCTGACGATCGCTAAAGCGTGAAACCCAAGGTCACAAACTCACATCTATCCAACCAAATATGTTAGCTCTATCTCTGATATTGAGCGCTTTCTAATAAGTACCGCGCATATAATATATAAATAATTATACATATATATATTTATTTATATTTATATACACTTTTCACACACACACACACACACACACACACATATATATATATATATATATATATATATATATGTATCACTTGACTTAAAATATTTTTGCCTTTCCTTGCCCTTAAAGGAGTGTTCTTTGCCGTGCTGATGTTGCTACATGCCTTACTTCTTGCCTATCTCACACTGCGAATTTTTTCTAAGCTCGATACTAAACATTAAATCTGTTACAAAAAAAAGTACTAAACAAAATGAACACAAAACGACCAGCTTTAAAAAAGGACTCGTAACTGGAAAAACCGAATGAAAAAAGAATGTTAACAACGATTACTTTTTTCACACCCAACGGAATCAGAATCAATGTTGAGTTTAAGCAAGCGAATGAGTCAATTGGAGTAAAGTGTCATGCAAATTTAAATTTTTCCCACTTGTGACGAATGCAGCTATCGACTTTTTGCATGCTAGCATGCTAGTTAACATTTGTGTCAGTCAGCTGTTGGCTCTCACGCTGGCCAATAGAATCTTCCTGCCTATTCGTGGCAGCCAGCTATTGGCTCTCACTCTGGCCAGTAAAAAATGGCCGCAAAACTACATGAAAACTGCCGTAGAAGCATGAAAAAATCGATTATTTCCACTATCGAGAGAAGTTGGGAAATGCAAAGTCGATCTTGGCCTTCTCGCTAACTTGGAGCATGTGCATGTAAATTTTGGTGCAAATCCATCGAAAATTGCAGCCGTGCATTCATTACACACACACACACATCATGCCTTATATATATATATATATATATATATATATGTAGTCTTGTCCAAAATCCAGATTAATATATATATATATATATATATATATATATATATATATATATATATATATATATATATATAAACGAAGGTGTCTCTGTGTTTGTTGTGTCTGTCTGTGTTTGTGTGTGTGTGTGTGTGTGTGTGTGTGTGTGTGTGTGTGTGTGTATACTATTTATGCACGTCCACATTTCTCGACCGATTTCGATGAAATTATACACACATGTTGCAAATTTTCTATGAGAGTTAAAGACCAACATTTTAATCGCAATGATCCCGGGTTTGGTAGAAAAATCGATAAAACTAAAGCTGTGTACGACTTTTTTTAAAAAACCAAGTCTAAGTTACACGCAAACAAAATTTTTACAGGATGAGCTGATGTTTTTTGCACTTAATGCAAAACATCAGCTCATGTTACAAGGTTTATGTAGAGTGTTTGATAGTTTTCATATAACATTGGTTTCACACAAAAAATTCCAAAACACTGACAAAAACCTAAATCTTAAAATAAAAACTGGAATAACTTCTTCGTTTTTTATTCGATTTTCTTCAAACATGTCGCAAAATTTTCCATCGTGCAAGACACAAGACAGTATGATTTTAATCCAGCTCGCTTCGGGGCGTATGATGAAAAACTACGAGAAACACTTAAACAACCCGTTTTTCGGCCATAACGCACTTGTTTTTCATCCGATTCTTTCCAAATTTTCCATGTAGATTACAAATGGCACATAAATTTTCTTGCGTGAATGTTTGGTTTATATTATTCCAGATAAGTGGACGAAATAGGTCCCAAATTGGTTTTTACAATTTAGCCAATAGTTTCCTCATATGATTCCATCCTAAATTGAAATTCGATCAACCTTTGATGCAAAAATTGTTTGAGAGGGCTTATTGAAGCGTTAAAAGGGGAAAAAAATTCGAAGAACCCCATATTAACGCCAGCTTTACAGTAAACCTGCGAATAAAGACGTGGGTGTTCATGCGTTTGCACTTGCAATTGAATGAAGCTCTGACTCTTCATCTCTGCTTTTGTTTGATTAGTAAATTTGGGAACAATGCCGTACTATTTGAAAATTATTACGGCCAGAGGAAATTTACTGAATATCTAAAACATTGAAACAAATTTAGCCCCGAGCAACGACCACGCAAGAATGTTTTATCGATGAAATTCCTTCATTAAGAAACAATTGCGAAGGACCTACCGTATAAAAGACGCGCGGGGAGAATACGAACAGATGATGCCTGCAAGCAGGGACGCAGGAAGACATATCTAGACAGGGGATGCAGGTATACAGTGAGTGCGGTTATACACCATATACACCCAGGTAACACCGTTTACTTGGCTAGTACGCACATTCACAGGATGCATCAAAAATACTTTTACAAAGTTTGGGGTGGGTTTCTCAATGATAAATGTCCATATAAACACATGTCTGCAAAGCCTTTGTTTTTGAGTTAAGTTTCAAGTTAAGGTAGAGGCTGTTAAATCCAAGATACAATCTAAGAAACAATACAGAAATATTTTGCAAACATTGAATATCCGGGCATTTTTAAACGGAACACTTTTCACTTAACTCAATGCTACACACATTAAACGTTGACGATAGAGTAGCCACAAATAAGCGCAAATGAAAAATGTAATCTAGCCTACATGGCAACACAGCGCCATCTACCGTAAACTCTCTTTAAACGTATTAAATCATATATATATATATATATATATATATATATATATATATATATATATATATACGCACACACACACACACACACACACACACACACACACACATATATATATATATATATAAACCTATGATCTAATTACATAAAACTGGTAATGGTGGGCGATTTTTTCTGGTCGATAAGTCCAAAACGGTAGATTTTATCATAATTTAATTGTTAATTCGGGGTTCAGCACGTACATTTATACGGAAATATGACGATTTTGAAAATTTTAATAGATATTTAGATCGGGGATTGAGAAGCAAATTTACCACACACACACACACACACACACATATATATATATATATATATTTTAATAAAAGTATACATATATTCATTATATATATATATATATATATATATATATATATATATATATATATGTGTGTGTGTGTGTGTGTGTGTGTGTGTGTATTGAAAATGTAAATTTGTTATACTTTATTTCGGCAAAAGAAGAGAAATGCACTTTCAAAAACAAATTAACCAAGTTAATTAAACATATCTTTTTTTAGTGTTCGATAACGAGTCGTTTAGGTTCTTTGCTGATACGCTTAGAGCGCTTTAAAAGATTTGGACGATATTTTTGCAATGTTTAGACCAGCGAAGTTACAAGTTCCTGGTTCAGTCTGCTCTGCTTTTGCTACGTTATTTCCATCGAATCCGTTAAAGGTTTATTTGAGATTGTAATTTCTTCAGATTCAGAGACTGTTGTCCCCTCCCCAGCAGGAGCGAGGTGAGGTAGAGTAACAGAAGTTTCCTTTCTATTTGGTAACCTAACAAAAGCGTAATCGGGATTTGCCTCAATCAGCTCAACTTCTCGTCCATTTGCTTCGTGCTTGTTGTTCTGAACGTAGTTTCTCACGAGCACTTTTCCAGAAACCGTCAACCACGAAGGAACAGATCTTCTGGATGTAGATTTTCTCGGGTAAGAAGTCATCCGTTCTTGACCAGTGCAACTTGTGACTGTATACAGTAAGGGGCGAATCGAGAAGAGAGCGTCACATAACATGGTTTCCCATTGATGTACAGGTAAACCTCTCGATTTTAAGGTTAATTTAAGCGTCCTTCACAGAGTTCCATTCATTCACTCAACCGTTTCCCCGTGGGTTGTACTCAATCAATCAACTAGTAGTTATTCCTTTCTCTTGAATTCTGTTCACTACTATTTCTCTAGCAGTTTAGTCTTGAAGGTCAGCACTAGTATAGCCTCCAGCTGTGTTAACTGTTATTTATAATGCGTAACTTTGCTTTTAAATACAATATATATATATATATATATATATATGTGTGTGTGTGTGTATGTGTATGTGTGTGTGTATGTATGTGTGTGTGTACACTAATAAAATATGATATGTATATATTTCGATCCAGACTTGAAGCAATCGGATGTCTAGCCACATGGATAAGCTGCGAAGACAGCGAAACATGCTTGTGTATGGATGACTATGTTACGCTCTCGTCATTTCGAACGAGCATTATTAAAAAAAAAAAGGTAATTCCAAAACAGTAGTCGTCACTGCTATTAACGCACCGCTCATCATTAATGAATTGAGCACTCTGGCTGCTGGCGTTTATATACATTCATATTCGTAGGATCTCCGACTGATGCCATATCTGTCAGGTTTTGATCCCGGCTTGAAACAATCGGATGTCTAGCCACACTGATGAGCTGTGATACAACGAAACGGGCTTGCATGTATGTGGATGACTATATATATATATATATATATATATATATATATATATATATATATATATAAATTAAACTTAAAGAGTTAGACAAACCTACCAAAGGTTGACCTATGCGGATCGTCAGGCAAGGCCGGCATTGACGATCCGCAGAGGTGAAACATTGGTAGGTTTATCTGGCTCTTTAGGTTTAATTAGGTTTGCTCAACTTAGCGTATTGAGCACTTTATTTAGTTATTTTACTTACTCGTATCGTTTTTTTTTTCTTTGGGTTTTGGACTTGGGTGCTAGACGATTATTTTCGGCTGACGTACATGTTCTTGGTTCTTTCTTTTTTTTGTACCTTTTTTCCCTTTGTTAATCCTTTGATTTTGGTTTATTGGGGACAGCGAACATCATTTTTTTAAGCATTTCACCCCAAGCAAGGCGGGAGTGCCACTAGCACGCAGGGGTTTACAGAGGATTGAGAACAAGAGTAAAGAGGCGTGTTCAGGGAGAGGATAAAGAAAAGGACGGGGAACAAGATCAAGGTATCAGAAGATGTCGATTGACATTACAATTGAATATTTAAAGATTATAGTTATCATAGAAGCAAGTAAGAGGAAGGGAGTTCCACAGACGGGAAGTGCTAGAGAAGAAGTTTATAGAGAGGGAGAGACGGTAACATTTAACCGTTTCGATAGTGAAAGGGTGGGTCCGAGATGCTAACCTAGTAGCGCGCTTAAATTCATGCAGACTGGGAACCAGAGAAAGCATCTCGTCAGAACAGTTGCCTTGAAAATATTTATAGAAGAGACAGAGGGATGCCAAGGGCACGTCTGTGAGAAAGCGACAGTAGACTAGACGACAGATCAGTAACCATCATATTAACTGTCAACGCCTTTAGCCGATAATTCCTACTTGACTTTTTCTTTTTCTTTTTTTTTGTCAAAAGTTCTCTAGCATTAAATGACCCGATAGTAAAATATTTAGGATCTTTTTCGGTTAATTCACCCCAAATAATGTAAAGTTATTGTCCCAAATATTAATTCGCCCCAAGAATTTATAAATTTTAAAACAAAGTTTTTTTGGTTTTTTTTTATTAAAGTTTTGGCACGGGTTAAGGTTAAAAAATTACAATAAAAAAAAAGAAAAAATCGGTTTTTGTCATGTTTATCGAAGTGAGCTCGACAAAGATACCACATTTACAAATAGCGTACCCGAGTCGCCCACTCTTAGGAACGATCACAAAGGTCAACTAAACTGAAGTCCAATGGAAGATCCTCGCTCTGGGAAAATTGAGTATGAATTTTAGTAAATATAAATTATTTTTACTTTAGGGTGAATTAATATTTGGGGGTGAATTAATACAAAATATTTAATATTTTTCTGCAGAAGAATGGCATTTATAAAGTTTTAAATAAGAAGATGCCAAATTTGAACGTTTGACAAACAGAGAAGTCAATACATTTTTCTGTCAAAATTATCCTTTAAAAAAAAACTAAGGAGATACCAACTCAAACACATTCTCTAAGTTTTATCCTAATTTACTAATTTATCAAAATAATGCATACAAAGTAATACTTTATTCAGAAATGGATACAAAGTAATATTTTACCCAGAAATGCGTACAAAGAATTATTTTACCCAGAAATGCCTGCAAAGAAATATTTTATTCAGAAATGCATACGAAGAAATACTTTACCCAGAAATGCGTACAAAGAAATATTTTATCCAGAAATGCGTACAAACAAATACTTTATTCAGAAATGCATACAATGAAATATTTTATTCAGAAATGCACGCAAAGAAATATTTTATCCAGAAATGCGTACAAGGAAATATTTTATTCAGAAATGCATACAAAGAAATATTTTATTCAGAAATTCATACAAAGAAATATTTTATTCAGAAATGCATACAAAGAAATATATTGTAAATAACAAACAATTTCTTATACACACACTTCCCAAAAGAAAGCCATACAAAAATTGAAAAAATTTTATTCAGAAATCTATACAAAGAAATATTTTATTCAGAAATCCATACAAAGAAATATTTTATTCAGAAATTCATACAAAGAAATATTTTATTCAGAAATGCATACAAAGAAATATATTGTTCAGAAATCCATACAAAGAAACATTTTATTCAGAAATCTATACAAAGAAATATTTTATTCAGAAATCCATACAACGAAATATTTTATTCAGAAATTCATACAAAGAAATATTTTTTTTTCAGAAATGACAGGTATAGGATCGAAAAAACATAGCAAAGAAATTTTGATTGTTTTACAGGAATCCATACAAAGAAACATTTTATTCAGAAATCTATACAAAGAAATATTTTATTCAGAAATCCATACAACGAAATATTTTATTCAGAAATTCATACATGGAAATATTTTATTCAGAAATGCATACAAAGAAATATATTATTCAGAAATCCATACAAAGAAACATTTTATTCAGAAATCTATACAAAGAAATATTTTATTCAGAAATCCATACAAAGAATTATTTTATTCAGAGATGCGTACAAAGAAATATTTTATTCAGAAATGCATACAAAGAAATATTTTATTCAGAAATCAATACAAAGAAATATTTTATTCAGAAATGCGTACAAAGAAATATTTTTATTCAGAAATGCATACAAAGAAATATTTTATTCAGAAATCCATATAAAGAAATATTTTATTCAAAATTATACAAAAGAAATAAAGAAATATTTTATTCAGAAATTCATACAAATTTTTATTCAGAAATGTTGTTCCATTCCATGGCATAGGCGAAATCATCAAAGAAATATTTTATTCTCACACAGAACGAGATGCTTTTTTATTAAATTAAAAAATATTTTATTCAGAAACAGTGAAATATTTTATTCAGAAAACAAAGAAAGAAAATGATTTTTTTACCAATTGATTTTAATAAATTCATTAAAGAAATTTTTCAAAAATCTCCTTCTCTTAAACTGCTTGCCAATCAACCGTTAGAGTAGTATCATATAAGAAGAAAATTTGCAGCTACCGATACCTAGGTTCGAGCGTGACACTCTGGACTTCAAATATGAATATATGTTTTCCGCTAGGTGTATAAATAGCGGCGTCAGGCTACTGACTGCAGTGATTATTGAGTGACTATTGAGTGGAACTATCCAGTCGAATTAGTGTGAATTATTTTGCGTCGATGATTTGGGTTTTGATTTAGGATTTACCGGACGTTAAGCCGAGCCGCGCTACTAACAAGGTATTCGTTAATTATCTTTGGTTGACTTTTACTTCTTTGTTCTTGTTAAGTCTTTATTGGCGGTTGTAAATAAATACTGTTTTTTCTTAACATTGAAGTCTTGAGTTATACTTAATCATTAGCAGCCACTGTACGTCACAAAAAGATCGTAATTTTCCTTTGAGAAAACTAGATTCAAAAGAATTAGAGACATCGCGGATAATATTATGACGCAGATCATGTCTCCATGAGGATTGAATATTAATTGCTTTTTATTATTGTACCTTTAATTCTAATTCTATGCTAAGTTTCCCCTCTGCTAGTTAATAGTGAATGTTTCTTTAGTTTGTTATTGATTTCCAAACAAACAATGACTTTCTTATACAAATGATTTCCTCAGGGAAGAATAGGATATTGACACGAGAAGAGACAATAGTCGCTGACATACAGCTCGGCATCATCCACATTGAAACCGCCAAAGAATTATTTAAATCTGTTATATAGGAATAAAATGTCGCTGCCGACACTTGAGTTTGAACATAGATCACCAGTGAACAAACACGGGCGATCCCATTATTGAATTAATTAGACCACGTGACGATAGAGGAAACGCATAAGTAATAATTAGCTTAGCCTCTAATCGATCGACCTTTCTATCTAATTTCTTTATTGAAACCAAGTAGTGTGTTTAATATGTTTTTACAGGCAATCAAAATCAAAGTCCTTTATTTATGATCTATTGGCAGGGGACGTCAAACATTTCTTTCTTCTATCCTCTATTACTAACAGATCGTCATTTAGACTCTATCTTCTGTTACTATACGGACCGCTATTTCCTACTCTTAATGAGAAAAGCTAGAATATGTAGTCATTAAATGACCCATGTATTTCATTTAATGACTATATATTCTAGCTTTTCTCATTAGTTTCTTTTTAGTACCAGAAATATTTCCATAGGGACGTCTGATTCCGGTATTTATTTATCCTAAAGGAACTTTGATGTTGATTGAATCTTTTTTTGAATTCATGCCTTGTGCATCCAATATAGACCTTTACTTTGTCTAGATCCTGAACAGTTGAGATATTGCATTGGTATACTAATGATTCC